TTGTGTTTTATTTTCACGTAAAGCTGTATTTCATCTCATAATAATTGTCCTAAGAAATGCTTCTGGACCTTGACCCTACTTGTTTAAATTTTGCAATGGAAGTTCTGCTCATCTGCAGCTAATCCAGGCCCAACAGTGCAGGCACTATTAAGCAGAGCCCACTCTGCTTTAACATTCTAGAATTCAAAATTATAATGACTTGAACAAATTTAGATGTCTATGATGTTGGCTATTGCTTCTTTTGATAACCGTCATTGCTGTTCAATGAAGACAGGAACAGGAGTAATTTCCTCTTTGCAAACTGATAAATCAATGTAGACGGAATATCAATGTGGGCTTCATCTTTAACACTATCTCTTCTTAAAATGAGCTAGTTACTTGTAAACTAACTTCTCCAAGGCATTCTTTCTCCAAGCTTCATAATAAATTGAATGTTTGTTCTTACTTCAACTAAACTAGAATCACACTGCTTTGACAGACGTTCCTATCAAGCATGCTGTCTTAATTTTTCTTAATGACTCAAGCAATATCCTTTTCAAATGTGTTATACCAACTAGCACACATCTATTTTGGTGAAAATAAATGAAATTCATGCATACTTTTTCATTATGTTAATTTCCCATGAACTTTTCAAAATCCCTTCTATAAAAGATACATTCTTTTGTTTTCTGTAAATCTTACCACAAAAAGAATTGTAAGCAAATACTATATTCTGACTTATGTTACACATGTTGAAATATTTACTGAAAAGTACATAGCTATATGCAATATATTTTGAAATGTATTAAGATGATGAATGGTAGAAGAGAAGGATACATGTAAATGCTAATGTTATAACTGAGGTGAAAGTACATGGGTTCTTCATTGCAGAAATTTAGAAGGAATTTTAAGTTTTCTCATTCTTCTTGATAATAACAGGAGTAAAAATTCTTGGTGTTCTGATTACAAAAACCAGCCACTAAGAAACTCCGGGTTTTGAACAAACCAATGAGTGACAGTCTTTTGAATTAAGGTAAATTTACTAGTACCTCACAGCAAAGACATGCGAATAAAATGGAAAAGAAGTTTAATATAAAATGATCTACAAATATAGTGTTAGCAAGCAGTTCTTCAGAAAAGAAGATTGCATTTGATATTGCTTTTTGCTTTTCCAAGGCTTCTAAACCAACCAACCCATCTGGCACTAAGTCCCATCTCCCCCTCCCTGCTTCAAATTCCTTGCTACCACTGTGGGTACCTCCCTCTTGGGTTGCCACTCCAGCTGGTTAGCAGAAAACAAGGACTGGAGCAGGCATGGCTAGCCAGAGAGTGACATCCATCAGCACGTGTATGGGCTGGATAGCGGGGCTGGTTGGGTTGAACTAGGCTGCAATGATCACTGATATGTATGAAAGCCGAATGGGATGCAGGACAGACTAGATCAGTCAGCTGTACAAACTGGCAAGCTTTTGAACCAGGGCAGGAGGTGAGCCTGGTGGGGGTTATTGCGGGTCACTCTGACTAGGCTGCAGCTCCCATTAGTGTATGTGAAGGCTGAGTGTGTGGTGGGCAGGATTGGACTGGGCTACAATACCCACTGGTTTGTATAGTAGACAGGCTGGAGGCAGAACTGACCCAGCAAATGCAACCACCACCATATGCATAAGCTGATTAGGGTAACATACTGTGCTGGACCCTGTATTGGCAAGCATACACAAGAGTCAGGTCTGGGATCACCTCAGATTAAGTGATCCTAGACCTAGGGATCCCCCAAGTTGAGTTGTTGGGCTCAGAACCCCAACCATGGAGAGAACTGCAGGTTCCATGGTCTGACTGCACAGTATATGTGTCAGACTTGGGCCTCCTCCTCCTTGTACATGGAGAATATGGCAGCACATTGGAGTCTGCAGAAGACACCCGGTACACAATAGAGGACAAAGGATAGAACAATTTGATCAACTATCCCAGCCAAGTGTTCGCAGTGACTATCTGGGCAAATGGAGACTCTAAGGTGGAATAAGCCAACCAGTGGATTCTGGAGAGATTTCATCATGTTTGGAGTGGCGTGACAGGCAGTAATTCAGAGCTATTGAACTATCAAAGCCTCTTGAGCAGGACCCTCAGAGCATGTCCTACACTGGGGACACTGCGATGGCTGGGAGGCTGGGTATGGCTTCTCCCTTATTCTCCCTCTTCCCCCAGATACAGGAAGGAAAAAATGAGAATGTGGAAATGGTGATCTCACCTGCCTTCCTGTAGCCCTTGATCCTTATCACCCTAATCAGCTATGTAAAAATCATGAAAAATAAAAATAAGCCAAATTTTAAAAAAATTCCTTACTACCATATTGGGACATTTCATATTTAGCGCTAAGGAAAAATAAATCTATGGTCCACTGCACATCAGAGCAACCAATTTTTTAAAGAGTTGTCATTTAAAATATTGGAAACTATCTCCACAATTAAATCATTATGTGAAGACCTTATAACATTCAAAGGCTATGATAATTTAAGCAAAGCAAAGGAAAACATTAACTGATTTTTTTAAACCACCAAAATGACTTGAATTTGATCCCAATTTTGGGTGAAAATCGGGCAGAACAATTCATATAGTGGAAATCTAAAACAAAATACATAATGATAAATATTCATTACATTCCCAGAACAGCAGTTATAAGATTACATTAACAAGGATGCATAGATTAATAAGTCTAAGAACGTTTAAGCCTTGGGAAACAAACTAGGGTAAAGTTAGTAACATTAAAAATGAGGAAGCGTTACAAGTGGAAAACAGGACTTCAGAATCATTTGTTTACAAACATACTCAGAAAATACTTGCCTAACAATATTTAAATATTCCCCAAGAGAATGAGCAGCAATTGTGTCCACCTCTGATACAACATGCTTCAGTGAATCAGTATACTATGCAAGAATGTAAATTCCTAAAACGACAAAAAAGCAGGAAGCTAAATATTCCTAGCACCACCGAAGAAAGTAAAACAGTCCTGAGGAAAACAAACAACATGCCAGCCCCAGATAGCTCAACAGGAAAGGAATGAAAAAGAATGAATGTGCACCTTCTATGAAGTTTGTAAAGCTTAATGTCAAACCAAGACAAAATCAATATAGGAAGGAAGCAAGGCAGGTATTTGGCATGATGGTTGAGGCTAAAATGCCACTTAGGATACCTACTTCCTACAGCCGCAGGGTGCCTAGGGTGAGCTTCCCGTACAACTCTGGATTCCAGCTTCCAGCTAATGCAAAGTCTAGCAGGCAGTTGACAAGTAGTTGGGTCCCTGCCACTCACGTGGGAGACCTGGATGAGTTCCCAACTCACGCAGCAGATGGGGGCTTGCTCAAGTGCTTTCACTGCTTCTGTGCCTTTCAAATAAATGACTTCTAGATTTTTTTTTTAAGAAAAATTGTAGATCAATCTCTGGTGATAATAAATGTAAAATATACTGGAACAAATATTTCTCAATTGGATCCAATAATATAAGTAGGTTTCTTTCATGAATACATGGTTAATTTAACACAGAAAAGTTGTTAATTTATGTCAATATATACAGAAAAAAATTCAGTAAGATTCAACAAAAGTCAGTATAAAAACTATCTGTAAACCCAAAGTAGAAGAGAATATGCTGCACTCTACAATAGAACCTACAGGAAACATCATGCTTAGAGATGAGATATTAAGTATTTTTTGTTAAATAAGCAACACCACACAGGTGCCTATTATCTCCATTTCCTATTGTTTTTGGACATCGTGTATAAATACATTAGCACTCAAAAACATACACACAGTAGAGCACAGACAACTCTGTAAACAAACACACACCAACAAAAAAGCCATTATTACATCAATTGTCCAAAGAATATATAGATTCCAAAGAATCCATACAGTTATAAACTATTTACAAAGTTTTTCCCTGTACTAACTACCAAAGAAAATACCCACCTGTATTGTATGCATGTGCTCAAACTAGCTATAGTGGTAGTAAAGGTTTTATATACATATATATATATATATATACATTTTTTAAGGATACCATATAAATCAACAAAAACAGAGAATTAGAATTTGCCTATAATATGTCCACAATGATTTATAAAATCGTTATGAATAAAGTTATAAAATGTTACTGAAAGATCAAATATGTAAAGATGTGTTGAAAATCTTATATATACATAATCATGGATAATAAAAAACATCCATTGAGATTAAGATTTTAAACATGATTTGAAAGTCAAAAGATTTAAGCTTTTTAAGAGTAAGCATGGAAATACAAGTATTTTAAAAATATCACTGCTGGGAAAGATTTCCTTTAAAAAAGAAAACAATATATTACAAGAACTCACCATAAAGAAAAACGAAATTTAGACACTATAATTCAGCAGCTTGTTTCATAAAAGTATACCATGAAGGGTCTGAACAGTCACAAGCCATGTCAAAATATTTGCAACATACACAACTAACTATTCCAAATAAAGAAATCTCATTAATTACAAAAAGACAAATAACAAGGAAAAGCATTGTGTATAACAGCAAAGATAAATGACTCAAAAACATATGGAAAAGCACTCTATCCCTTTGATAATCAGGAAAACATAAATCAAAAAGATATTGAGATCCCAAGTAGAACAGAGCAAGGACATTCCCACACCTTGCCTGCTGGAGTATCAACTGGTTATTCCTATTCAGAAAAGCATTTTAGGCATTAGTAAAGGTGAACACATGCACACTCCATGCCTGGGATGCACCTCATAAAAGCTCTTCCACAAGTACCAGAAGACACAGACAGGTGTACTCTCTAAGTCACTGGGGATAAAACGAGCAATCAATTCTGGAATGCTCAATTCAAAATCCATACAACATATACTCATTATGCAAAACTAATGCTTATGGATCACATAAGTACCATTTTCCATGGCTTTTTTTCATTTATTACTAAATTCATAAGTAAACCAACATTATCTTTTTTAAATGGAGAGATAATATATGCTTGACTGGTCAATTCTAGATGCAGCATGAACAACTTTTTATTCACACTGATAAGTATATGCACTTTAATCACCAAAGACAATATCAAGTACTTATACAAGAAAATTCCTTTTGAAGATTATTTCAATTTAATCAGGATTAAAGGGAAACAAAACTTTCACCAAATCATTGTAAGTAAAGTAACTTGAGTTTTAATATCTTGTTGAATAAGAAAATACACAGAAGGAAACAATAATAGAGAGCTGGATGTCCTGTGGTCTTCCTTAATAACAACCCATTTTCAAGAGACTATAATCTACTCAACAGAAGGCATTCTACCTAGGACTGTAATGAGATTCTGAGAAAACTCACAATCAAACAATATGCCATTAAAACCAAAACAATGCAGGTATTAGCAGCTATGTGAAAGGTTACCCTCTACATGATGAGTCATTTCTGAAAGTAATCAAAGTATAAGTCCCTGAAGTGCTTTCTATTCAAGCTGAAAAATATATAAAGGCAGAGACTCATTTACCAAGCAGGTTGACTGCAAATCCAACTCTAGGCAAACATCAAACTAAGAATGGCAAAAATGAGTCTCTCGTGCTACATATTATTACTAACTTTTTCTTTGCTTTCTCAAGGTATTTTGCTTTCGGCTTCCAAGTCCATAAGAAATTTAGAAGATGACATGGTACTTAATACATTTAGGATGGGGAAAGCCTTTCCGAAGGATGATACTGCAGAAAAATCTATTGCTGCTCCTTCACTGGAACAATATAAAAATGATGAGAGCATTTTCATGAATGATGAGGAAAACAAAAACTCAAGGGTAAGTAGCAATGTGACTTGGTTTTTCTTACAGTGGAAATTTATAAATCCTTCAGAAAGTAAAATAGATAGCTGCAATTTGGGGGGGGGTGTTTTATGGTTTTTTTGTTTGTTGGTTGGTTTACTAAATATGCACATAGTCATGATGTGCATTAAGACAGTTGATGAAATTTCATACAGACCAGTTTAACTTTCCTAATAAACCTGTACATAATGTGTTTTTTAAAGAGTTTAAAATAGTGCAGAGCATCTTTGATCAGTAAAGATACTAATAAATTGCATATAGTTTCATTATAGTTTCATTCTTAGGACGAATAAATACAAATCAACCTTCTTTTTGCAGAACACAGGCTCCAAACATAATTTCTTAAATCATGGTCTGCCACTCAATCTGGCTCTAAAGCCTTATCTTGCACTAAAAGGATCGGTAGCTTTTCCACCTGAGAATGGAGTTCAGAATACTGAGTCAACACAAGAAAAGAGAGAGATTGGGGATGAAGAAAATTCAGCTAAGTTCCCTATAGGAAGGAGAGATTTTGACAGTGAGTAGTATTTTTAAACCCAATTTTGTATTTTAATATCATAAAATAGAACTGTTGAGCTTTACTGAACTTGGATCCAATTATTCAAAAAACCGAATGAGACCATGGTTCAGTTATAGCTGATGTTAAGTGATCTCTGTACAAAAGTGAGATTAAAAGAATCGGTTGGTTATTGTCATTTTGATTTACCAGGATTAGTTATTACTGACGCATTGTTTTTGCTGCTGAACAACTTAAACGTTCTTTTTCCCTTCAGTGCTCAGGTGCATGCTGGGAAGAGTCTACCGGCCATGTTGGCAAGTCTGAGGTCTGTTGGTCCGCATCATCTCATTGGAAGAAAACAAAACCACTTCATTGCCAGTGGGGAGAAAAGCCCTTAACATTACCATAACTTGCGTATTATTTAAAATGCTTGTTTTAATATGTCTGTTTTACAAGAAAATAATATTAAAAATATATCAATAACCTAAATTACATGCTTGTGCTATATATTAAACTCTGAAAATTCTGCATAATTATGACTTACTAGTATTTTTTGAACAACGCATAACACAGTAGTCTACATACACTTCAGACCAAAATAATAAAGAACCATAATTTGCACCTTCATCTCTTTAAAATTAAGCCTCTTTGGTAAACTGGTTTTACATACACATAAATCCAAAACAAAACAAATTCATAGTCGAAAAAACTGAGTTAGCTTTGTCTGGCCAGCAATCAACTTGTTCTTGGCAGCACACTTACTGCTTTTTGGTACTCTGGCTAGTTTGCCATCCAGTTTATTCTGTGAATCGTTTGGTATCTTAGATATCTTCACAGTTTTAGGATGAGATGGTTCATTTTCATTATCACAGAAAATATTTTCATGATCCAAATCCACCTGTTTTCTCTTTGAGCTTTTATTTCCTGTCTGACTATCTGATTTTCTTGACACTTTCTCATTTTTACGTCTGTCCGGATGAACACTTCCAAAGCTTGTTCCAACTGTTGATCTTCCAACAGATGAATTTACACCCTCTGTTATGCAAGATGAAAAAGAGAAAGGAATTATGTAATATTTAGTATTACTGCTCATGAGAACTTCCAAATAAATATGAAAAGTGATTAATATCTTAAAATTTTTGTAATCATAGGACTTATGATTAGCAAATAAAATTACACTATTGTCACATTCCTTTTCATTTTACATTTCTATCTATTTTGTTTCAATGCATGATATTCTTTAGGCAAATGCTACAAGTGATTTCCTAAATACATTTACTTAAAATATGTCCTTTTCCAGCTTACTAAATTTATATGTTGATTTCATATTTTAAATAAAATCACACCTTAAATCACATAAACCTTTACATTTCATGGTACTTCAAAAAATAATCCAGTTTTATTAAATAAAAATCAGTAAGTAACGAGCCCAGCACAGTAGCATATCAAGTTAATCCTCCATCTGAAGCACTCGCATCCCATATGGAAACTGGTCTGTGTACTGGGTTCCTGGATTCCAACCGAGCTCCCTGCTTATAGTCTGGGAAAGTAGCTGAGGATGGTCCACAGCCTCAGGCTCATCCTCCTGTGCTGGAGACCTGGGGGAAGCTCCTGGCTCCCAGCTCTGGAATGGCACAGTTCTGGCCACTGAGACTGTTCACGAAGTGATCCAACAGATGGAAGATCAATTGCTCTCTTCTCCCCCACCTCTTCTCCCTCCCCATAGTAATTCAATAACTTTCAAGTAAAATAAATAAACCTTAAAATAAAAACACAAAAAAAAAACAACTACAGTTAAACTATTATTCAATTGTTAAAATCAGATCAATTACCAGTAAGGTCATTTTCCATGCGAAGCATACACAAGGGTTTTGATGGTAAATTAACATTATTACATTTATTCTTGCTTATCTGGCAATCATCCTTATATGTACAAGCAAATTGGGATCTAATTAAGGTTTGTTTCGTCTGGTAACAGAAAAAAAGAAGAAAGTATGCAATTTATTTATTTGTTTTCTAAAATCTGGATCCATAACCTTTAGTAACTAAGGTATCACCCAAAATCCTAATACAAAAAGACTATTATTTGCTGGGAACTTTTAACTTCGTTTAATATTTTGCAAATTCATTCATCATTTCAGCTAGCATTCTTGTTCTGTAAAGCTTTACGTATGTTTTAGATAGTTCTTGTAAAAAAAAGAAATTAAAAAAACTTGATTTCAGATGCTAGAGGCTCTTGCCATGCTGTGCCTGGGATGCCTTGCACAGTAGGTAGTAAAGTAATAATACCCATGACCGGATCCACCATGGAAAACACAAGTTCTTCATCCTAGAAAGCACAGAGTGTAACACTAATGGGAAAAATTACATACAAAGTTCAAGAAGCTGGGAAAAGGAGAAACGCTATGATAAAAAATAAATAAGAAAAGTCAAAAGAAACAAATCATAAGATTAAATTTTTAAGTGGTATTTCTTAGCTAAAATTTCAATAACGAGGAAGACAAGGCAATTCAAATATGTGCTTCTAGGATGATCTGAACAAGTGATTTAATGGTTAAAATTTCAAGATAAATGCAATAAATTCTTATTACTGCATAATAACATAACAACATTGCAAAGTAACAAGTTATTACATTTATCTTCGTGCACTAACTATGGGATTTTACGTAAAGATGAAAAAATGAAATAGAAGTTAAACTCTCAACCACTGAAAGGGATGCTAAAAAAGTACATACGGGAATGCACACTGCAAACATAAAACCAGTAACCTGTTTTACAGGTAGAAATTAATTTCAGAAAAAAGAAGCTCACACAGACAATGCAAACATCCACAATTACAGCTGATGTAATGAATTACATCATCCAGGGCGGAGATTTCTCTAAATGATTGTCACCTCACCTTCTGCTTACAAATAAAATTTCTAATAATTCAATGAATTGCATATCAACCACTTAGAAAATCAACACTTCAAAACATAACATTTTGTGGAAACAAAGGTCTTACCCACTTAAGAAAAATAACATTTTGCTTAATATTACTTACAGAAAAGTAAATGATAAATTCTTGAAATCCAAAATAACATGAATTTGTCATTTATTCAGATCCAAGATCACAAGACAAAGACATGAAATCTACTGCCTAAGGCTTGGAATAAATTGTAGCTGCTTCCATAAAAGCAGTTTCTTTGCGATGATACATTTTCTGCCTTTCCTACTAATAGGGCCCATGAGACTATTTCCCAGATTTTTTTAAAAGTGTTTTATCAGCTTGAATGAAGCATTGGACAACTGTAGTTACCTTCTATTTAAGCATAAAAATGCACAAAATTGGAAAAAATTGACAATGTAAATATCTAAAGACTATTTCTTTTTCTAGAAAAGGAGAAATAAAGTGAGCTGGTGATCATGAATGGGTTTTGCAACTAAGTACTCCATTAATCCTCAAGATGGGGCCACTAAACCTGTCACTCTGTCACAACTAACTGCTAGAATTACTTCACCAAACTGCTAGAATTGTGTATATTAAAATAATCAAGAATCAAGGAATAGTAAACCCCTTCAGTTTGGCAATTGGTGGCCTGTTCTGGCCCTCCTCTGGCTCTCCTTTCCATCCCTGGCTCGGCCCTTTTCCTGCCTCCTCTGCAACCCACATACAGGGTGAGGAGTCCACATGGCCACAGACATGCCCACCAGACCAACATGACTCCCTTCAGATCCTGCTCCAGCTTCCTGGCGTCCCTAGACACGAGCCTTTTCCTCTAGGTGCAAAGACTGACTAGCAAATAGCAACAATGAAAGGGAGTATTTATGCCTCCTAATTGAAAATCCCTCAAAGCACAAAACACAACCAGGTTTGAAGGGGGATTAGGGCAGCCCAGGTGGTTTCATTCACACGCTTGTATCTTGCTGCCCAAATATTTAAGGAAATCTTGTCCACTGGAGTAGTGGGAGCAGTTTCTTTGTTCAAACATATCTCCAGTGCCTATAGAGAGCTATGCTTGCTGAATAAATAATGAATATAAAAGCTTTAGCTTATAACAAGTATATTCAAGCAGAAGCAAAAGGAGTACACAAAGCAAGTAATAAAGGCTTGAAGGTAAAAACTCTGCAGAACAGACCAAACTCAGTTCTGTTCAACAAAGTAACCAATAACATATCACGCCCTGCATTCAACTTCATTCTTACTGCTTCCTCAGGTACAGGCTTTCAGCTGGCAGCCCTGAAGCACCTGTGACTCAAAGTCCAGAAGATTCACCCTGTCTTCTCAGGATTTTTTCATACAGTCTCTTTGGCCTCCCACCCCACTTTATTTTCACACAGGAGAGTAGCCATGGATCTTAGGCAAGTCCTACTGTTCAAGCAGGACCTTGTCTTTGAAACACTAAGGCTCATGGTTGATTTTAGTGTATTGTACTGAAGTTCCCTACCACTACACAGCTACAAATATCAATTACACTGTAAGTAAAAAATATATATATATCTATATATATATAGATATATATATATATCTGCATTTAAAGTTCCTGGAATTTCAAAATATATTAACAGTATATCAAGATATCCAAAAGCGCACTCTCTCCATTCTCTCTCTCTTTCTTTCTGAGTTCCTTTTAAGGGATCAACACCAATGTCAAGAAAAGAGTTGACAATAGACAGCCCACCTCAAAAGCATAAGAACAAGAAAACATACTCAGTAGGCTTCTCAGTTATCTGGGAACTGGAACTAGGTTAAGTTATAAGTCACACTGCACATCTTTACTGTGAAATCTTCAGTTTCTCCCCTTGACCATCACTTTTGAAGTTCACAATATCTGACTACATTATTTATTGTTTGCTTTGGTCATTACTTTGTCGATTTTTTTTTTTATAAATTCAGGGTAATTATCACGGAAGAGAAATTTTATGAGTTAAACTCAATCTACTATAACTTAACTGTCTCAACTGCTCCATGTTTTAAAGGTCCAGTATTTTCTGGATCAGATAATTCAAATTGTGAAGTGATTAACTTACAATGATTCAAACAAGAATAGACAGCAGTCTCAGAATAAGGAAAAGACCTGCAAATATACAACACTTCAGTTGTACCTGACATGTAAACTACTAATAAACTAAGCTGGAAGGGACAAAACTAATAGGAAGCTAAACAAAGAAGAATCTTTTAATAAAAATATAAGGGCACTTTAATTTACTTAAAGTACCTTGAAAAAGGATCTAAGGAATGAAGATAAAATATTCTCCAAAGGTTCCTAACACAACAACAAAGGCTCAGGAATAAATTCCCAGTTTCTTTCAAAGGGAATCAATTTAACCATTGTAAATGAGCTTCCTAATGAACTACAGTAGGAAACAAAAGTTGTACTACTAAAATAGGGATGCTAATGAACAATTTCCAAAGTGATTTCATAGGACTTTAAAATCATAGTAGCATTATTCCATTTATGAATAGTAAGACTAAGAGTTAAGTATCCCCATACAATGAAGACAAGAATATTTCACAGTTGACTACATTTCTATCTTGGAAACACCTATTCCACTATTCTAAGCATATATCACATATCCTTTTCATTACTTAAAAAAAATCTTTGATGCTGAAAGAATAAAAGCAACAGGGTAACAAGGTAGTAAGTTGCTAAACCAATTTAACATAGTGACTTTGGTAATAAATTTCAGCAATCTTTGTTGCTATTCCCACAAGCAGTTCAGTTGTCTATGTAGCTAAACTGATTATTTTTATACCCTGCATTTATAAAAAGCACTGTAACCCATAAACACCAATTCTTTCCTTTCTTTATTACCATTTAGTTCCAGAACTGTACAGTCTAAGCCAGTTCCACTGTTAAGTAACGGAAGCAATGTAATTACAATCTCATTAGTATTTAACCACAGTTTTACAACTGGCATAAAATATTTCATTAAATTAAAAGATCTTGGATAAAGCGCTTCGTTAGAATTTTGGTTTCCAGACTTACAAATGAGAACACATTAGATGATTTCTATTACCCAAAACTTTCTAAAATCCGTCTAATATCTCATACTAATTAGTTAACCCATAACAATTTCTAGAAAGGCTTTTCACTCTCCAAATACTTTCATTTTTATTTACTTACTTGTAAGAAATATATCAATTAGCTTTGAATCAAAATATTAAAGTCAGTTGGTACCAAGGGTAGAGAAAATTAAAGGGGATTAAAAGTTACATTTCTGCTTTTGTCCAATTCCCAAGGACAGATATATTTTTTAAAAGTTTATCCATTGACTATAAGTATGTATAGTATTAAAACACAGGTGACAAGTTTTGGTCACAGAAACTCAAATACATATTTCATAGGCCACTAATTACTCACAATTGCTAGTAATTAATATAGAGAAAAGATTTATTAAAAGATAAATCAAATGCGTTTAGGGGTGTATAGGTGAAATACATAACTAAAAGCTATGTTAACTGTGACTAAATACTCAAGTGGGAACATTACAGAGCAAAGGGCTGACGATATTGCACCGCAAATCACACTGCAGCTTATGACATGAGTATCCTGTCTTGGAGCACCAGTTTGACTGTCAGCTGTACCTTTTCCCAACATGCTGCCTGCTAATGAACCTGGGAAGGCGGAGGCAGCTGGCCAAAGTGCCCCAGCCCCTGCCGCGCCGCGCGGGTGAAAGAACTGGATTAAGTTCCTGATGCCTGGCTTTGGACAGGCCTAGACCTGGCTGCTGTGACTGGGTGAGCAGTGGATGGAAGATGGCTCTTCTCCTTTCCTCTCTCATTTTCTCTGCATCATTCTGACTTTCAAACAAATAAATTAATCTTTTTTTAAAAAAAAATACATAAAGGGCAAACATATTATAATTTTCAGTTGTATTGACATGAATATTTAAGAAGTATATGCTTTACACAAAATTTTTAACAAAGCCATTAATTCCCAACCAAACAAGTTTCTGGTATATTATATTCAAACAAAATATGTTGAACAAATGGTGAGTTAAAAAGAAAGTTTCTTTTTGAAAAATAAGACCAAGAAAATTTTAAATTATTGAAGGAACACATTATTGCCTATTTATAGGAACAAGTGTTTTATATGATGACAGTGAAATTCAGCCCAAACTAATACAAATTCAAAGGACAGCTCTAGTAACAATGTAAAACGATTTCCTCTTGTCTATCCACAATTAATTCTATTCTGCCATTAAGTCGGCAGACACAAATTTTCAATTACACAGTCACTTAAGACTCAGTTTAAGCCACTAAAAATATAAATGAGAAAGCCATTTCTTCTTTCTTTCCTCCTTCACTCACGAAAGATATTTAATACTTAACAGCAGCAACTAGCAAACAGAAAATAGCAATTAACAAACAAAAAATGCCCTTCCTTCTTTAAAGGCTAAACAAGCCAGAAATAGGTTAAGACAATATAAAAAAAGAAAGTTTCTGCATGTCAATTTTGATAACTCATTTTCTACTGAAATTTTATTGTGCTCTATACAATGTATATTTACAAAATTTACCTCAGTTTTTTATCTATTTCTTCCAAATAAAGCCTACTTATATTTTTTCGCAGTATATTAAATTGTACCTTAACGTTTTTCTCTTGCATTGACTTCTGAATGCGTTCTCTCAAGGGTTTCAATGGGTTGCTCACTTGTGTGGGAGATCTATTTTAAAACATAAAGACCAAAGTTTACTGTTATGGTTTGAACATTTGTGTCATTCCAAAACTGAAGTTAAAATTTTTAGAGGATGGATTAGCACTTGGGAAGAATGCTAGGTCTTCTCTTTCACCTTTTCTGCCATGGTTAGACACAGCAAGAGTGTGCGTGAGGGTGGTGTGCGTGAGGGTGGTGTGGGTGAGGGTGGTGTGTGTGAGGGTGGTGTGGGTGAGGGTGGTGTGGGTGAGGGTGGTGTGGGTGAGGGTGGTGTGCGTGAGGGTGGTGTGGGTGAGGGTGGTGTGGGTGAGGGTGGTGTGGGTGAGGGTGGTGTGCGTGAGGGTGGTGTGCGTGAGGGTGGTGTGGGTGAGGGTGGTGTGGGTGAGGGTGGTGTGTGTGAGGGTGGTGTGGGTGAGGGTGGTGTGGGTGAGGGTGGTGTGCGTGAGGGCGGTGTGGGTGAGGGCGGTGTGGGTGAGGGTGGTGTGCGTGAGGGTGGTGTGGGTGAGGGTGGTGTGGGTGAGGGTGGTGTGCGTGAGGGTGGTGTGGGTGAGGGCGGTGTGGGTGAGGGTGGTGTGGGTGAGGGTGGTGTGGGTGACGGTGGTGTGGGTGAGGGTGGTGTGGGTGAGGGTGGTGTGCGTGAGGGTGGTGTGGGTGAGGGTGGTGTGGGTGAGGGTGGTGTGCGTGAGGGTGGTGTGTGTGAGGGTGGTGTGGGTGAGGGTGGTGTGCGTGAGGGCAGTGTGGGTGAGGGTGGTGTGCGTGAGGGTGCTGTGCGTGACGGTGGTGTGCGTGAAGGTCGGTCTTCACAGGATAATGAAGCTGCTGGGGCCTTGCCCTTGCATTTCTAACATTCAGAACTATGAGAAATAAATTGTGTAATTTACCAAAAAGGCATCTTACTAAACCAGCCAGAAAGGCCAAGCCACTATTAAGGCAAAAAGATTTTTAAGTGAGTTCTCCCAATACCACCACGAAAAAAAATAGCTACAGGTAAAAGAAAACTGAATCTGTGTATTTTTGTTATAAAAGTGCTGGTATTCCTATTTGGGCCTCAAAATAATAGTAGTTTAACTAATTCAGTTAACTAAATATTTCCCAAGTTTTCTATTTTTATTCTTTTGCTTCTATTTTTAAGGCCCTATGCAAGATACTGTAGGAGCCAGAAAGTTGATTCATTATTGATAATATATATATTCAGGTAATTGGAAATCAGAGTAAAGAAAATGACCCATATACAGTAACTAAAATTCAAAATAGTAGGAAAGCACAATGAGAAAAATAAAAAAACAGAAAAGTCAGAGAAGAAGCAATGCAGAAAATCTAGGATATGAGTCCCAGCAACCTGTTTCTCAACGAATTAACCCTTTTTGGAGCAACACAGTCAGAGCCATTTGATACAAAAGACTATTATATAAGAATTAAAAAAAAAAAAAAACAGTAGCTGGCAAGTTTACTGACTTAAATGATTGACTTGTCCTGAGTTTTACCACTTTGGTACAGATCATTAGAAACACAGACTGCGACCTGTGCGCACACTGACAGCTGGAAACAACTGCAGTGTGCCTGCTCACATGTTCCAGCGTTCAAATGGACTTAAGAATTAATTTTAATAAAATTTGTTAATTTTTTAAGATACACAAAGAGAAAGAGATGCAGAGAAAGATACTCAGTCTGCTGATTCACTCCTGAAGTGGCTGCAATGGCTGGAGCTGAGTCAATTCAAAACCAGGACCCTGGAGCCTCTTCTGGGTCTCCCACATGGGTGCACATGGGTGCAGGGTCCAAAGGTTTTGGGCTGTCCTCGACTGCTCTCCCAGGCCACAAGTGGGGAGCTAGATGGGAAGTGGGGCCGCTGGGACATGAACCAGTGTCCATATGGAATCCCGCTGCATGCAAGGCGAGTACTTAAGCCGCTAGGCTACTGCACTGGGCCCTTAATGAAATCTTAGACAGAAAATGATTTGCTCTAAAAAGATAGAAATTCAATTTCAGAAAATATTCAAAACCATCATTGTTTCTATCTAAAAACAAACTTTGCAAAAATAAACTATATAGAGAAAAACAAAAGATTCATTTTTCAAAAGTGTTTCCTATGAATCCAGCAGAGTCTATAACTATATTTCTGGTAACAGAATTTTTTATTGTCAGGAAATATTTGAGTATTTTTAGATAAAATATCAAAGAATTATATCATGGGCATATCTAAAAGAATACTCACAGGAAGAAAGTAAAGAGGAGATTTATATGAAAGGATTTAGATGGTAACATTGAATGATAGATCATTGTAAAGTTTTCCTTTCAACAGAAGAGAAAGGATGCTGGGTCAGTGAAGAAGGTACCTAAAACAATCCTGAATAGATAGGAACAATTTTAGACATAAAACCAGATTCCTAAAAAATAGCATCAGTAGAAAATAGGAAAGCTAAAGAGTGAGAAAGCATAAAAATGCTCCGCAATGTATACACACAATTTAATATGGTTGTTTTAAAACTTTTAATGTCTCTGAAAGTCAATGTTCACTTAAAAATATCACCAACAACTCGGCAACTGACCAAACCATTGTTAGACTGGTGAGCATTTGCTTTGGACTACATCATGTCTCCCAAAGCCAAATATGCAGATTGAGGCCTTATCTCCAGTGTGACTGTTCAGAGATAGGGCATGTAGGAAGTGGTCAAGGTTCAATGAAATCCCTAGGGTGGGACCCTAATCCCATAGGACTGGATGACCTTTTAACAGAAGGAAAAGAAAGCCAAGAGGTCACAGGAGCACACAGGACACCCCACAAGACAGGCCTCATGGGAACCCCGCTGTGCCAGCACTTGAAGATAGGCATCAGCCCAAACAGAAAGCCAGTTCCTGTTGTTCAAGCCACCAATGGGTGGCGTCTGCCTATGGCCAGGTGTGGCTTTACCTTCAGGGGTTCCAGCCCACCACAGTATCAGGTGAAGCAGATGATCCTCCCTCTGGTGATACTGGCATAATGCCACATCACAACGCCTGGCACCACTCACCTCGCTTCATCTCATGAGGAAGGCATTTTACCAGCTAAGACCATCATCATCTCTTACTATAGAAAATAAGATATTTTGCATTCATAGAACTTCTGTTAAGATGTTCTAATTTATAAATAAAACTTTTTAATGCATATGTAGCTATAAACTATAATAGGAAAACAATAGTATACTTGGGTTCAGTAGTTTCCATGGTTTTAGAGGGCACTGGGGAAAGAGACTACTACTATAAACCCAGCACTGACATAATCTGGGAATTTTTCCTCATAACATGAGAAAGAAGCAGTACATGTCAATTCCATGTATGTTTGGTGTATATGATCTCTCCCATCCTTGGAGCACAGGCCTGGTACTTGCTACCACCCTTGCTACTTGCTAACTGAGCTGTCTTGGGTAAATTATTTAATACGCATCTCAAGCCTCTAACTCCTCACGAAAAGAGGCTGCTGAGACGGCTCAGATAAGCGAAAACATTTATCATAATTCCTCACAAAGTAAATAAATATTTCAAAGCAATAAAAAAGAGCAAAGACCAAATGCTGAACCTTCAACACCTCTCCCTGCCAACTCATAAAACACAACCTGTGTATATGTTCTCTTCACATTCAAAAAGTCACTCTCCTTTTATTTTCGCTCTTTATGCTTTTCTGTAGCACCAAAGTTTCCTACCATAAGCACATATTCCTTTTGTAAGTAATGAGGTGTTTTCTGCACAAATTCCCTAGAGTTAATATTTACACACATATGTAACTTGCACATTACCTACCTGAAAAGTGTGAGAACAGACATTCTGTTGGGATGATCTGTGCTTTCGTCATTGTATAAAAGCTCTGCTTTGTTTTTTGTAGGAGCACTGGCTGCTTCTTCATCCAAAAGAACTAGTAAGGCTTTCACAGTATCTCTCCCACAGTATGCAGTGTCATGGTTTATGGCATGAGATTTTGGCTAAGACAAAACATAATTTTAAGTAACAAAACATAATTTTAAGTAATGAACAAACAAACAGACATCCCAGGAAGGTGAAGTGGCCACAGATTTCCATTTCTTATGAAACTGTTCTGCTTCCCCTGTTGATGAAGTAACAAAACATCAGCCAAAGCAGCGCCCATAAGGCATGTCAACATTTCCTTCCTAAGTGATACTAAAGTTAATCTTTTCAATTTCCAAAGCACAAAAGAGTACCATCAAAGGAAGCTATTAGGCTCTGCTCAAACTACCACTGAACTTGCAGTCAAAAAATGTAGTCACTACATAGCCTTGTAGCCTAATTTCACAATTTAATCTATGTGCATTTTTTCTAATATCAGTGGAAGTAAATCGAAAGATGAAGCATTATTTTATGCACATGCATTTGATATTAAGGATACCCTGCCATTCTTTTTTGTTTGTTTGTTTAATATTATCTCTTTGCTATTACTATTTGAAAGGCAGAGAGACTTGAGAGAAAAATGTTCCATCCATTCTCTCCCCGAAATACCTGCAACAGCCGTGCTGGGCCAGGCTAAAGCTAGGAGCTAGAACTTGATTCAGACCCCCACATGGGTAAAACGTATCCTTAATATGACTGGAATAAAACACCTTGATTTGTTAAGCAAATCAAAAAATTATCTTCTTTACACTTTAGAAAAATCAAGGATGGCAGTTTATACAGTATGAGTATTTTCCAGCATAAATATGTTGTCAAACTAGGAGGCAGGGCCACAAAGTAAGATACTGTAACAAACCAGTTTAGAAGTGACAGTGCCTGAACTAAGATGGTAGTAGCAGCAGAGATAAGAAAAGCAAATTTAAATGCAACAGCAGAAGTAACTTTGTGACTAGACAGAGGAGTAAAAGAAAATTCATGAGTATAATAGTTTATTCTACTTGGGTTTCAGGGCAACTCACTTACTGAGTGTGCTATAGAACCACAAGGAAGTTGCTTAACTTCTCTGTGTTGAAGTTAACTCACTAGCAAACCTTAAGCGCAGAGTGCCTAACCCATAGAGTTGTTGTCGGTGAGCCTAGATTTCAAAATTGCCTTTTATGGGATATCATGGAAGCCCTGCCAGGCTCCTCAGCTTTCATCAACATGGTTTTGGCTTCCTTTCTTTCTACTTGGCAGACTCAGGCCACCAGGTGAAATGTAATGCATATAGCTTCACTGAAATTAAAACAAACTGCCGATCACAATCTGATGTTTAACACATATCTATCCTTAGAACCAGAGAATTCCACGCTGTTTAATAGTAACTTCATTGAGTTTTCGTTGACTGCATTTTTCAAAGAGTTCTCAATTAAAAACATAAAATTAGGATTCATGTTGTATATAATATATTTCACCTGCCAAGAACTGGGAGATATTAATGTTCTTAATGATCTGAAACTGGAACTGTTCCTGACTTATAGTAACAACCTGGCTGACATCTGAGCCAAGCACATAGGGATTAAGACACATGAGGCAACACCACAGAATTTCCCCTCCAACCCATGCCTTCTTAGGAAATCCAAAAACATCCATCATTACAAAAAACAGCTTCCTCAAGGGCTGTAAAATAAACAAGGAAACACTTAAAAGACAAAAGGGACTACCAGTTTTACAAACACATGATAGTCAATTTCACCCGTAATACTACGGTTAGAGTCTACTATATTTGACTATCTGCATTTTTTAAAAAATTGAAAAAAAGAATAAATGTTCTGTAAACATATGGTTAAAATATTGTCAGGTTCAGAGAATACCGGGTAGGAGAAGGTTGGGAATGGAGGTGGAAAGAAGAGAGATTACAGCGATCAAACAAGGGAAGGTAAGCTGTTGAACGCAGACACTTCCTAGCAGAACTGCGGCTGTCCTGTAGAAGACCTTGTGTTGGGCTCAGAACCAAAGAACTCATGCTTTCATTTTACATTTGAGTAAATGAAAACTAATTGCTCTATAAGAAGTGCTGGAAAAAAAAAAATTATCGGGTAATACCACAAAAGACCTAAATATCCATCAGGAATAAACTTTTTGAGTGTTAAATGGAATGCCAGAAATCACTGCACTTTAACAAACACAGACAATTTGGCCTGAAGATGTTATGATTCACCAAAGGGAAACATAATCCTATCTAATCCTATTAGAAAGTTTAATTTTCAACAGAATCTTCAAAGGTAGCAAACACATTCTTCTGACGTAAGCAGCAATAGTAAACCAATTCTTCAATAAATAGAAGAGGTAATGTTTTGTAAGCAGGAACAATGACAAACAGAAAGCTCATTACCCGAGCAGGACTGATGTCTGTAGCGCTAGCAGATATGCCTCCCTGTTGAGAATTGATAATATTTTTAATCCTCAGTTCCAAATCCTGGGCAACTTCCTCCACTGCTTTATAAAAAGGATCCCTGCCATTCTGGCCTTTAATCAGCTTCATCTTAATCACAGACAGGATTCGACCCCCTGCAAGGCTGAAAAGAGAAGTAAGATTGCTTCATAATAGTGGTTTAAATGGCAACATGTTCACAGCTTGACAGTATAACTCTAAAAGTTAATCAACGTTCTTCAAAGAATACAGTTTTGATCTAACAAACAAATAAAGCATTCAAGAAAAAGGTGAGAGCCATTGAAAACAAAATGCTTAAAGCTAATCTAAAGCAAGTTGTTTCAACAAGTTCTTCCTTGATTTGAAACTGGAGAGAAATAATTTAGTTACATATGAAATCTTATAAGATTTAGATACAGTTATAAATAAGCAATGTACTTAAAATATGAGATGTAACAGATAACAAAAATAGGCCTCTCCTACTCAATACCCAGAATCTTAAGTTACTTTAACTTAATTTAAAAACCTATTCAATCAGTTGTTATTTTTACCTCTAAATCACAGATGAGAAAATTGAGACTCACAAAGATTAAACAGGTTGTCCAAGAACACATGGTGTTTCGGACTACAGAGGAAGGAGACTAACCTGAAACATGTGCTATCACATTCTGACATTGAAGGATTATCTTATATTAAAGAGGAAATTAAGCAAGTTAGTATAGATCCAAAGCAAACCAGACTGCACCAGCTGTGGCTAACAGACAAGTGTTTTTTAAAACATCTGAAATCAGTATTTCTCCATATCAGGCCTGACCTTGAATTCAACGTTACAGCTCCTGCTCTGCTGGAACATGACATAGAGGAGAAAGTGTGAGAAATGCACAGGAGGAATGATCTGGGTCCATTCCAAACAGGAAATGCCCAACAACAGAAACAGCCTCTTGTCAGAAGTCCTAGGAGCTCCATGGCTTGAAGGTGTTCCTACAAGGACAGCAGGGAGGTCTGGTCTGCGGAATATGGCGGCCTGGGCACAAAATATAGCCCTGCCTCGGGTATACTCTTACTTATTTTTTTTTAGTAGTAGCTTAAAGGAAATTATGAATTAAAATTTTCAGTCTCATTGTTACAAAAATTTCCAGGCATTATGGGTTATGGGGAGCAACCAGGTTCCCTACAAACACTGGAAATAAAGAATACATAAAGCGCTTATGGAATGATGAAATTAAAAGATGCTTATTTTTGTGTCAAAAAATTGAAATCTTTTTCATAATATGTACTTTCCATGAACCTTCTGAAGATCCCTTGAATAACTGCTCACAATTTTTTAGCAACTGTAAATATAAAAGGAAAGGAGAAAATCAGACTCAAGATATGATGGTAACACATTAGGCCAGAGGCTCCCAATTTTCCCTGATCATCGGAATCATTCAACTGACTCATTCAACTGACTCAAACATCAACTCTAGGGCCTATCCTACTCAGTCATCTTATCAAGAGGAAGACACTGGATTGGTTTAAGAGTAACGTGTGATTTTCATATTAGTGAAACTTTTTAGGCAAAAAGTAACTCTTTGAGAAAGGAACCATATTTTATTAATCTGAGCACCAGTTTGCACTTGGCACATGGAAGACAAGAATGATGCCTGTTTGTGGAAAAATGGACATTACCACCTGGAAGAATCTAAAGTTTAAATATCTCTTACTATGTGACATAATAACAATATTACTACTATTTGCAACACAGAAGCATTTAGAGGGTCACCCTGCTTACATTATGGTAGACCAGATGCTCTACACAAGCATCTCCCTGTATTTTATAGGAACAGAGAAATATTTTCAAGGGCCACCCAATTTCTCCCTCACACAGGAACAACCGAGAGCTGTAGAGGTTATATTAGAAGCTGGAAGCAAGCAGGAAGAACAGGGTTCTTGTGAGGACAAACATCCTAGTACCACAGTGACCAGTACACAGAGCCCTGGACCAGCAGCAAAGTGGGACAGCAGTTCATCCAGAGTCTCCCACATTCAGTCAGAACCTTCCAAGGGGGAAGGAGCTAGCATGGCCTTTTCACATCGTTCTATGTTCTTCATATTTTGAAACTACTTTTAAAAATTTTCTCTCATTAGTGATAATACAGAAAAATTGCTTTTTTTTTCTTTTAAATTGGCCTGGTATCTGGCAACATTGTTAAACTCCACTGCTAATTTTAGTAGTTTAACTTGATTCTTGGAATTTTCTATATATAAAATCATGTTATCATCAAAAAGTTTTATTTCTTCTTTCCAATTGTTAAGTCTCCTATTTCTTTTTCTTACCTTACCTGACCAAATTGGACATCCAACACCATGTTGAAAAGAAACGATGAGAGCAGGAACTATCATCTCATTCCTAAACTGAATGCTAAAACATTCTACCATTAACTCAGTTTTTATAGAAATCCCTTTAGTTAGGTAAAAGCCCTTCTTCTCGGTTCATCTTGACACAGAGAGGTTAGCCCTAACAGAGTGGCTGTGTGTCTCCTTTTAGACCCCCCACCTTGGCAGTCCCTGGACTTTGTCCCCCTGTCCCCTCAGACTTTAGTGATTATAAGAATAGAATCTCCAATTCACTAAATTCAGCAAATGTTCTCAAAATAAAAGCTGGCTTGCCTCCTTCACCTACTTTTTGACCTGTATTTTTATTACATTTGCCTGCTCAGCAACGAATTTAAGAAGCATTTTATCCAGCATTAGTATTTTCAGTGAAAGGGTCCATGGGGGGATCTAGTCTGCTATATCAGATGTCTTCAGTCGATTCTAGAAACTCTTTTATATAGATGAAACTTTCTTTCTCTGTTGTTTCTTATGCTTTAATTATCATTTGAGACCCCAGATTTGAACTGGATGAAATGAAGCCAAAGGGAAAACGTAATTAGCACTATGTGTTATTTCTGGGAATTAATCGGTAACGTAAAAAGAGTTTGGGAAAAGCTTGAAATGGTTAATAAGATATGAAAGATGGCCTTAGTGTCAATTGTAAAAACAAAGTCACACAAAGTCTCTTTGGCCCTTTTTTTTCCATTCCTTCAAGGGAAACAGAAATGCAAAATTTAAAGATGTAGCTCACTAACAAAACTGTACTTAGGACAAAATTTGTAACACTCGTATTTCAGGGGCTAGCATTCTGGCAGTTGGTTAAGCTGTCACCTGTAAAACTGGCTTCCCATATGAGTACCGGGTAGAGTTCTAGCCTCTCCATTTCCAATCCAGTTCCCTGTTAATGTACCTAGGAAAGCAATGGTAGATGGTCCAAGGACTTGCCCCCCTGCCATCCATGTGAGAAACAGAGATGAAGTCCCAGCCAATGTGATCGTAAGGGGAGTGAACTGGTACATACTAGTTCTCTCTGTGTCCCTCTCTCCTTCTCTATCTGTAATTCTGCCTTTCAAATAAGTAAGCAAATCTTTTTTAAAAACTGTATTTCAGACATTTACCAACGTCAAATTTTTTATGCCTGGCAAAACACCAGACATGAGTGTTATGACTAATCTATTGCTGTTTGTTTACTACTACACCCAACTAGTAATTCTACCAATCTCTTTTTGATAACATGGTGGCTTGCTTTAAAGTCCTAATTCTAGAGCCTAGAAATTCCAGAAATCTTAATTCAATGACACGAAGACACTTGTGCAGCAGGGACACAAATCAATAAATATGTTTCTCTTATTTTAGAAGTCAGTAGAAAGAGACACTTAAAGTACAAGTAGTCTTGCAGTGGGGAAGTACAGGAAGTATTCAGGAAGGTTTCTCAAAACATACATTAGGCCTATGCTGGATGAGCACTATCAGAGGTGAATGTTGACAAAAGAAAATCAGTTGCGACTCCTGACTCCTAACTGTGTCACACCAAGATCCAACATGAGGTGATTGAGAAAAAGCACAAAATTCCTAGCAATAACTAATAACACAGACAAATGACTTGTAATGCTTCCTGGCAACGCACGTGGGCGGCAGCAGAAGATGGCCCAAGTACCCTGCTTCCTGCCTCTATTCGAATACAAGACGAGAGTCAAATTCCTGCTTCCTGATTTCAACCTCTCCTAGTCCTGGCAGTGACAGGCATCTGTGGATTAGCAAATCTTCTAGGGAGTGAGGCAGAGATCTCTCTCTCTCCCCTTTCTCTCTCTTTCAAATAAGGAAACCAGCAAATCTTTAAGTGACATATATTAAGAGCACCACATAAATTGTTTCTGAAACATTTTTAAAGAAAAACACATAAATGTAAAGGCTTACTTATTTACTTAAAAGACATAGTTATAGAAACAAAACAGATATAGAGATCTTGCATCACTTGTTTGCTCCCCAGATGGCTGGGCCAGGTGGAGGGCAGGAACCATGAATTCTATCCACATCTCTGTCATTGGTGCAGCCACCCAACGACTTGGGCCTTCTGCTGCTGCTTTCCCACACACATTAGCAGAGAACTGAATTGGAATTGTAACAGTGGGACTTGAATGGGTGCTCCTTTGGGATGGTGGAATCACAAGTAAATGGGTTAACCTCCTAGCCACAATGCCATCCCATAAGAAAATGATTAACAATAGATTAGATAATTTTAACCAAAAATTAATATTCTAATAATGTACATTCAGTGCAATATATAATGCAGGTATGCATTACAATATTGTGTGATAAATGTGGGATAGAGAATTTTAAACTTCCAAAAACAGGAAACCACTTTATATAAACCAAAACCTTTAATTTGAGACATCTTTCAGATAAAAGAGCATAGTATGCATTTTATGGTGGCATCTACTGGTAAAGTACAGAAATGCAGCCAACCACAGCTAAAATGGCCCCGGAGAAGCTGGCAGTGCTCAACAAATACGAAAATCAAGTATTTACAAAATTGATTTTTGTCTATTCCCCCCTCTTCCTTGACCCCAAAGTTACTGGCATTCCCCTATTGTAAGTAATACAAGTTTATCCTCAGACATAAAATACATGTGTATCTAACTGTGTTAAGGTGAGAGAGCATTAAAAGGCCCCAGTGAGAGACTGGCAGCAGTTAAACAGTAAACAGTTCTGTATTTGAAGTTTCTTGGAGTTTTCTCCCATGGCATAAAATGTAACCACCAGATGTTTAATCATGAGAGTAACTTGTTGTTTCAGAAATATCACTCTGGCAAGAGTGATAGTAACAGACTGGGGCAATACAAGACAAACTGGTGAAAGCCTTCAGGTAAGAAAGGATGAAAGTCTGCAAAAAAAAGAGCATAAGGGTTGGAAATAGACAGCATCTATGAACTAAGTATGGAGAGAAAGAACATACACAAGTCAAGAAAGAAGATTTGAGGGAGCGAAACGGACATAGAGGAAGTAGAAACATCATTTCAGGAGATGTCCCAGATTCTCACGGATAGCTGAAAGGATAAAGGCTTTGTCACTTTAAGGGGAGTAAGACTTTTACAAGGAATGATATTGGGACAACAGAAGTATAAGCTGCCTTTGAGGTTATTATCCTTAAAGGTACTTGAAGTTATTATTATTTCATTTTTTGAAACTCAAAAAAGAGGATTAGATTTCACTGAAAAATACTTTTTGAAGAATCCACATTTATGCAGTCTTGGGAGGAATGGAAGCTCTCAGAAGAAATGACCAAACACAGTGATAAATGAGGCAGGTGGCAGATCACAAAAGGCCAAAAACAGAGTAAACAGCAGGAAAAACAAAAACTGGAACATGTCTGAGCCAGTCGAGTCTAGACAAGTAAATAAATATTGGCTGTCCTCAATAGGGCTTGCTACCTCCTGAGGAAAACACATGAAATAATTAGAAATAGAGAAATGCAAAAAGGACAGTATTTTTTTTTTTTAGGAATTTGATCTGTACAGAAAGTACAAAGAAAAAAAGAAACAGTTTTTTCTTCTTGCTATCTTTATGCATTGTTGCCAAAAGTATTATTATAAGGAGACGTTGAAATCATATGACAAAATAACCAGTGGAGCAACGAACCAGGAAGTTATTTCCAACCCCCAGGTCTGGTTAACTTCTTCCAAGTTCATCCTTCAAGATTAATTTCAACTGCAACATCCATACACATAAGCATTCTTGAGACAAGTATTACTCCTGGCTCCCACAAACGAGGTCAGATATCCCTTCCGCTGTATATATTTATTATATAATGAATATACACTTATTGTAAAAAAATCACAAAGCATAAATAAAGATTTCTCACGTAGACTATCAGATGCGCACTTAAATCTTTAAATACTCACTTCTTACACATCTTTCCTAGAAGACAGAATAATTGGGCCCGGAGGCGTGGCCTAGCAGCTAAAGTCCTTGCCTTGAACGCACGAGGATCCCATATGGGCACCGGTTCTAATCCCAGCAGCTCCATTTCCCATCCAGCTCCCTGCTTGGGGCTTGGGGAAAGCAGATGAGGACAGCCCAAAGCTTTGCGATCCTGCACCCGTATAGGAGACCCGGAAGAGGTTGCAGCTCACTTGGGGAGTGAATCATCGGACGGAAGATGTTTCTTTCTATCTCTCCTCCTCTCTGTATATCTGACTTTGTAATAAAAAAATAAATAAATCTTTTAAAAAAGAAGATAGAATAATTAATCATTTTAATCAGACAGACTATCCAAAGTAAATGGCTGCTAAGTTGAAAAATCTATTTTTTTCAACCCAAGTACTTCCAAAAAGGGGTGTGCACGTGTTCATCGACTGCCCAGAATGGAGAAGCCAAAGACCCTCTGCCCTATCTAAGAAGACATCAGTGAAAGGCAGCATCAGTCTCAGGGAGTGAGGGCAATGCTAAAAGCAATGATGAAGCTGGCACACGGGACACCATGGGCGCAAGCAAAATATTTGCACCGTTAACTTCCTTCCACTCTGAGCAGCTAAGCTGGTTCTTTCTCACACATCAGCATGGAGTGCAACTGCTCTGAGTGCACATCTTACCATTTGAGACATCTACATTGCAAATGGGAATCTCTCAATAAAAGAATACTCTATCTCCAATATCATATAAGAAATCCCAGATGCGCCAGTTTTACACACACGTACACACACACTTGCAACAAACAGATGGTGATTTCATGATATTTTTGTCAATTTTCTTACTAATTCTTAGTATCACATTTCTTTCTTAATAAATATAAAGGTGAAAGAAACTAATCAGGCATTCCCAGTCCTCAAAAATTTGGCTCATCCAGACAAAGAAAAATAACTCTCTAATCAAACTGAATTTGGAAATTGGCAATAATGTTAAAATCACAGGTGAATTTAGGAGGCAAGATTACATGGCTATTATGTATTCACCTAGATAATTCGCCTTCTCCCTACAATTTTGTCTGATACTTTGTCGCTTCAACATACATTTTATTCCCCCTTGTAATTCAGGGCAGTTTTATAGACAGATTAAAAACACACTTATAATTTACTTAAACAAAGTCATTACCTTGCATTTGATATTTCTCCAAGAATCTCATCTAATTTGTCAATGAAGTTAATAAACTTGGTCAAGCCCTTTGCGTGTGTCCTTAAAGGATCAGATGGCGCTGGTGCATAGCCCTTCCCTCCAAGCTCTAGTGTCCTAATAAATGATGTGGCCACCTGTGAAATAAAGCAGTTACTTTTATTTTAAAATAATTTAACAATCTAAAAACCTATAATTCTCTTTATGAAGCAGTTATGTCCATATAATTCCAGGTATGCAGTTGCAGTGAAGCATATGTTATGCCTTTTGCAGGAACTAATAATTAAAGAAATAACTGTCATGCAGAATTCATGCTAAGAAAAGTGGCGGTAATGGCACCCATCTAGGCAAAAATTGAGGAGCTAAGTAAAAGAAATTAAGGGCCACAGAGTATATTCATAAGAGTAGACCACTGGCTATAAAGAATGTTAGGAATACATTCTTGTGTGAATTTATTGTTCTTTTTAAAATCGTTAAATGGGACAAAGACACGTTCAATGTTAATTAATTTGTTGGGTTAAACCAGTAGAATGGCTGGGCAATTCAACATATCCAAATCTCAGGGTTGTTTTCTTTATAATTTATGAATCAGCAGAGAGGACTTATGATAATATGACTTACACAAATAATAATAATTTAAGGAAAATTCCACAGGAAAATACTTAGGAAACAACAGATTAAATGACAGGGTTAATCTGCTGTAATTTACAAGTAGATTTTGTTAAAGCAAGATTTCTCAAGAGTTCTGGCAGTACATATAAGCAATAGTGGCATATAAAATTCATTTCTAAACTTTTTGTTCTTGAAAATATTTTTTCAGGGGTCATTTCATAAAGACATTTTGCCATTAGTAACATTTATTTAAGGAGAAATAATTAGGGTTAACATTCCTCAGAATATTTAGGGAAACACTGCTTTAGAGAAATTTTTCCTTACCAAATTTGAAAAATAAAGCAAAAAGGAATAATATCATGGCTTTTCAAATACTGAGATATACTTAAATTCAACACTTAGAAGACATTTTGTCATATCACAAGAACTCTACATTACAGTTTCTATGAAACTCTATTCACAACATTTTTAAATAATACTGAAAATAAAGCACATTCATACCAAAAAAATAGACATGTGTTTCTCTTGAGCAGCATGTTTCAAATCAGTGAAGGCTTCTCTTCCCAGTCCTCTATCGGGAATATTTAGAATATGAGCCAGAGCCAAGTCATTCTTCGAATTCACTAGCAAGTCTAAATATGAGAAGATAATTTTCTTCGCCAGTATATACACCTGAATAGTAAAATATTCAGTTATCTTTACTATTATACTTTTCTATTATAATATTATAATTTTCCAATTATGATCAATTTTTTAAACATACTGGAAAAATGCTTATGAGCATTCAATCATAATAGCCCTCTTATCCCTTTTTAAAAATTGACATATAAACAAAAAACTTAGGATGGATCATCTACATTTTTTTGCACATGAAATCAACTTACTATCCAAAAAAAAAAAGACAAATACCAACTATTAGAATAGTTGCAAATTGATTTTAGAAAATGATGTGAAAAACATACTCCAAATATGTATTTATGATGAGGCCCCATCTTATCTGCTTTTTTTTTTTGGCTGACAAAGAATACTTTATAATAAAGAACTCCAAGGCTTTGAGTACAAGAACAAGGCGCTGTTTGATTCTATATCTACACCCCTATAGTATATGTGAGACCTCAAGTTAAATGTTCAAACTTTTAGAATTGTAAGATCTTGACTTTGTTAATAAAAACCTACCAATTGAGAATTAAAATACTAATTCAATTGAATGATAGGCTAAGAAGACCATGTAGTTGATGTTGATATTAACTGGCCTCAAACGGAGCTACACAGTATCCAGCAAAAGAGAAATAATATCTGGGATAATTTAGTAAAGCAGCCAGTATTTTCTTCAAAAAGTTCATGAAAATATTTTTTATGAAAACAATTTTATAATAATTTCAAAAATTTTTACAAAAATTTCAAAATAAGATTTTAATTTCATTTTCTACAAACTGTTTGAAGCCCTCCAACAGAATGCATTTTTTGTTCATGTTGCAAAATGACAGAACTGAACATTAAATGATTTTTTTAGCTCAGCTATTACAGCTATCCAAGGCTTTGCAACTTGTAGCACAAAAGGAGAAGTGTGGTGTGGATCCTACAGGTAACTATAAAATATCAGGGAAATTTTTACAGCCTAATTGCATAAAGATATGAAGTATCCAATTGGCAGACACAAGCTGGAGAATTTAGTTTCAAAAGAACTGCAGCAATAGGGATAAAAATTAAATTTGTGATTATCTAATACCCTGAACTTTCCAGTAACAGAGCAGAGGTCTGAGATCCCTACAGATAACAACTAAGAAATCCCAATTAAGTTTTTGGTTAATAGGGCCAAGAGTATGCCTGAATTCCATGGTTATGGCTGCAGAAAAGAAAGATAACTAAAGGCGCTAATATTAGCATTCAAGGCTGGAAAAATAGATGGAAATTTAAAGAGGAAAATCTTGGTAACAATTCAAGGTGCAAACAGCCCAAATCTATGGCTAGCAACTAAGTAAAACAAGCATATGAGAGATCCCAGAGGAAGAGGAGGGAGGGGGAAGGAAAAGAAAAGGGTGAGTGAGAGAGAGAGAGAGAGAGAGAGAGAGAGAAAAGATAGAAAAAGAGAGACATCCACCATCCACTGGTTCAGTCCCCAAACATCCACAACAGCCAGCAGTAGAGCTGAGCTGAAGCCAGGAGCCAGGAGCACAGAAGCCCAAGTACTTGAGCCATCCACCGCTTTCCAAGGCCATCAGCAATAGGCTGCATTGAAGTGCAACATTTGGAACTCAAATATGTGATCATTGGGGATGCTGCCTTTGCAGACAGCTTTACCTGCTATGCCAAAACACAGGCCTTCAAAATACAACCTTAAATGCAACCAGAACAAAATGAAACAATACCGACAGAGAGACACAATAAAGCATAATATTTTGCATGATCCATGTTACAAACATTTCTATTTTAACTTAAAGTCTGTCTAAAGCATGAACATCCCTTTCATCCCATTGACCTTTGGGAATACCTCAATTTTCCAAAAGCCAGAGTAGAGAAGCTATGACAGTAACATTGCAATCATAAACACTGTTTCAGACAATTTAATGCAATCAGTTTCACTGTGGCTCTGCTATTCAGAAGCAACAGGGACTTATGGAAAGTGCTTCCAAAAGCTCGTGGAAAACAGAATAAAAAATTATTTTGGTACCAAAAAAAAAAATCAAAATCAATGTACAGTAGGTAGGTTTTTTTCCTAATACATATTTTCTATGAACTTTTTGAAGCTTCCCAGAAAGTTCTTGATCCTCACTGGGTACAAAGCCCAGGCTTAAGCTCCCACATGTTCAACTTGCTCTTCAAACCTTGCAAATTTTGTTCTTCTGATCTGTGATTCTGGGCAAATGTCAGGGAAAAAATATCTTGGAGTCCTCACAGTCAGAGTGTTTCTTTGAACTCTTGGCTGCAACTGGAAATCTATCCCTATCATTATGGTCAGATAACATGGCAGTTATGGGTTCCCTGCTCTTGTATTTTCAAGTGGGTTTTCAAAAGGTCCTCTGGAAAAGCAGTCCACATAAGTACCGTTATGATGTCCGCGAGCAAGAGCCCAAATTGAAAAAGTCCACAAGACTGAAGCTTTTACCAACATACCAAAAATAAAGACACTCTTCTGTGTATTTGTTTAATAAAGTGACTCTATCTATACCACAAAGTATTCACAATGTTTGTTTAGAAATTGGATAATTTAAAGTTCCTGACAATTTAAAGTTTCTTTTCCTAACCCTTAATTCTTACTGAAATGCAGATATTCAACCTAAGTTTGAAGAAAGTCAGTTTTTCTAAAGTAAAAAGATCAACAGCTAATAGATATTTTTTTAATTTCTCTGCCAATATTTTAATGCTTAAATATAATGACAAAAAGTTGGACTAGAACAAATAAATAAGTAAAAAGCTTTAATTAACTCATTATTTTCTTATAGGGCTTCCATTCCAATTTTTTCTTTAATTACTTCGGAATTTCTAAGGCAACTGCTGAGGATTTTAGGAGAAGAAAACTAAATAAGGAAACAAATTGTTAATTCTCAAAATCATTCCATCCATCTACTTGAAGACTCTAGTATGGCATTATTAAGCATATTTGGTTATCAAAATATATCTTTAAAGATTGCAACCCCAAAAGCCACAGTACAACTTTAATAGAAATATACTGACTTCCAAAAATACCTTAGAAAAATTAGAAACTGCCATAATTTAAAAGCATGGCTAAGAGGATGGCTGTTACTTTAATAGCCCCCAGAAACTCTAACCCATCAGCTAACAAACTGATGCAATTCAGTAGAGAACACAGTCCAAGAATGCAAAAAATATAAAGTAGGGGATTAAACTAATGAAGCAAACTATCAGGCTTTATATTTTAAGAAAGGTAGAACTGTTATTATACAGTGTAGAATGGACCAAAAACAAGAAATCTGTCAGTGCCTCCCCTCTGGAGACAGGAATGTACTCCTTAAGTGCCAGTGAGAGAAGCCCAGGTTTTGGTTAGCATTACTCAAGACTGAGGGCAGGAGGGCAAAATAAGGAGAAGTGAAAAAATTAATTTCAAACAGTAAAGCACAGTCGCAAAATCAGTAAAAAGAAAAAGGTTTGGTAAGCAAAACTTAAGGCTTAGAACAGCTTCTTATTCCAGAAAAAAAAAAAAAAGTTCAAAAAATCTAAGAGGCAATGTAAAAAAGACAAAGAATTGAAGGGGGCTTCCTCTACTTTAAAGAATAATAAGTATAACTGATTTTAAAACACCAAAAAAAGTATGAATTCATAGTAATATATTCATGAAAAAAAAAAAGCGTTCCTGGCTCCCGGCTTTGGAATAACTCAGTTCCCACCATTCCGGCTGATTGGAGAGTGAATCAGAGAATAGAAGATCCCGCTCGCTCTCTCTCTCTCTGTAGCTCTGTCTTCCAAAACAAAAGTGTAAACAAGCAAAAGCCATTTTGGGGTAAATGCAGGAGTTTGAGTATGGAATTTAGTAAATAATACTAGGAAAACTTAGTTTTTCTTTTTGGGAAATGCATGAAGAAACGTAGGGATGAAGTGCTACATAACTTACATTCACACAGATCAGAAAGAACATCAGCTATCATGATAAAGCATGTTCTTGAGCCCAGAGAGTACACAGGGCTTTACGGGGGAGGGTCAGGTGCCATAAGAAAAAACACTTTTTACAGTGGTATCTGAGGAGAAAATCTCCCCTAGCATAGTTCCTGAAAAACGAAGCTGATTCATCCAATGTGATAATTTACTGGAGCACCTAGTATTGAAATAGTCTACACCTTTCCATATCACAGTTTTAAAATACTTTCGATGTAATTTTATTGCTTTTTCCAATAATTTTACAATTTCACTTTTTCAGTGGTGATTTTAATAACCATATTAGCTTTTATAAATAACTTCCACAGTTGGAGTAACGTATGCTCATGGGGTCGGGGGTGGGGAAGAGAAGGTTTATATACATATTTATATACCTTATATAGGGTTCAGTTGATAGTAAGTTGTCTTAGAAAAACCATCATATGGCCCTGCTTTTTCTGGGGTTTGTTTACACATTTTGCTAGCAGAACTCTTGACATATCATTTGTATTATGGCAAATTTAGATCAGATTTTTCAATTGAACCCATTTTACTAAAAATCAACCATCCAAAAGAGTAGACACAAGGTTTACCAACTGGAAAAACTGAGGGAACCCTATCAACCTGAAAGCTTCAACTACTTTTCTACTAGTGTGGATATCCGCTTTCATGCAGTCCACTACCTTAGCCCCAAACCATGAAAACCATGACTAATACCATGACCTCCCAGCTGTCAATGATTCAGTGTTGACAAATGAACTTTTATTTGGACCAGTAAAACATTTTTAAAAAGAACAAAAGATCAGCAACTCTAAAATAGCACCAAATTCACAGTGGCCACAGGGGTCATATTCTGCTTTGAGATTCTCACAATTCATCAGTACCTTTTCATTGTCCTGCCAGTGGTCACGCACTGGTGATGCTGGTACACCAATGTCAGCTTCATCATCCAACGCACACTGACTGCTACATAGAAAATCTCGTAGTTGACTCTACGGGAAATAAAGGTTATTAACAAAATGCTGTATCAACTATATATATATCAACTTCATATATATATATATATATATATATATGAAAAATACTTCCCTTTCAGTGCTCCAGTACATAGAATATTACCTGACAGGTGTAGGCATCATATATTGTATTAACCTTCAAAATAAAATGTCTCAATCATTTTCCAATGAAACCTGTACTCAAAGTTTTACAAGCTTAGAGTTAAAAGATGGACTTGGGGCTCAGCGCAATAACATAGTGGTTAAAGTCCCTGCCTTGCACACACCGGGAACTCAAATGGTCACCAGTTCTAATCCCGGCAGCCCCACTTCCCATCCAGCTCCATGCTCGTGCCTCGGAAAGCAGTCGAGGATGGCACAAAGCCCTGGAACCCTGCACCCGCGTGGGAGACCCGGAAGAGGCTCCTGGCTTTGGATCAGCTCAGCTCCAGCCATTGCAGCTGCTTGGGGAGTGAACCATTGGACGGAGGATCTTCTTCTCTGTCTCTCCTCCTCTCTGTATATCCACCTTTACAATAAAAATAAAATAAATATTTAAAACAAAGAATTATTGTTTAAAACAAACAAACAAAAAAGATATTGGAGCCTGAGAATTGTTTTTCCCATAAATATAATGTTGTACAAAGAAAGGACACTACTCTTTTCTAGTTTAAAATTATTTTCATATTTAAACATTTACAAAGTGCATGCTTATAGAGCAATCGCTTAAAAAATGGGCCAAGGACTCCTGCAAACCCTAAAAAGTGCTTCAAGATCTTCCATTTTCCAATGTGAAGAGAAACTTTCTTATTATACTCCAATCAAATGATGCTTCCACCAGAAGCAGACATGAGCATTCCGTTATTTTCCACCACACATAGCACTAAAGATGTGCGTAAAAACACAAAGTGATGCCACTATCCTAACAATTTTTCCATTTCCTGAAATTGAAAACGATTCATCAAATGTTACTGAAGTTCACCTGCAAGAGGGTTAATATCAACTTTTGAAAGATTGATTTTTTTTATTTCCCAATTTTAATTTTCAGTACAGTAAGTATTTTCAAATATAAATCAAAAATCTCCTTGTAACTGGAAATAATTCTTCAGAGTGTAGACAATTCCTGAGACCTAAAACTATGACCATCAAGACTTAAATAATAGAATGCAAAGTTTTCTGAGAGAAGTATAAAAATTCCAAAATATTTGCTGTCATGCACTACTAACTTTTTTTAATTTTTTTTTTGTTTTTTTATTATACTTTTGACAATCTTTACATAGTTGATTAGGGTAAAAAGGTTCAAGGACTACAGGAAAGTGGGTAAGACTATTATTTCCATATTGTTTCCTTCATGTTTAAAGGGGGGTATTAAGGGAGAAGGCCCACCCAATTTCCCACCCTCCCCAGGTCCAGGATGTAGGGTATGCTCCGAGGTTCTTGCTCAAGTGGTTTTGATAGTTCACCAGTTAGAAATTGCTGCCAATCTTGCCACTCCAAGCACTATGAGCTCTTTGAAGAATCCACTGATTGACATAGTCCATCATAAAGTCTCTGTTTGCCCCGTATTTCACTGCCAACATATAGCTGAGATGGTTGATTGACCTGTTCTGTCTTCTCTCTTTTCTTGGTTAGGGTTCTGAGTCCAGCATTTTGATTGGGGAAATCTCCAAATAAACTTTCTGAGGTGTTCTCAGACCAGATTCTTCTTTGTACTAGCAGGTACAGGCCCCGGCTCAGTCCATGGCCCTGATCAGCTGGTGGTTGCAATCGCTGGGTTGGTTCTGTTTCCAGCCCAGACTTCCACTGGAACCAATAAGTGTTGCAGTCCAGCCTGGTTCTGCCCAGCACACACTCGGCCCTTGCATAAACCAGTGGAAGCTGCAGCCTAGTTGGAGCGACCCACAATAACCCCCACCAGGCCTGCCCCCTACCCTGGTTTGCCAGTATGTGTAGCAGACTAGTCCAGTCTGTTCCACACCCCATTCCACCCCAGCCCCTGTCCTGGTTTTCGTGCCCTCCCGTGGAAGTGGTAACCCAAGAGGGAGGAGCCCACTATTTCCCTCCCAGGTCTCTCCCACTCCCGGATTGTGCTCTTTCCAGGTAGTTCTGTGGTTTGATTTGACAGAACTAGCCCCAGTGCCAGCTTCTGCCAGCTGATGCTGTGGCTAAGCCCAAACAACCCTCACCCACTCTAACTTTGTTTGCACTAGTAGGAATAATCAACCCAGCCTGGCTTTTCGCTGATCTAGTCCACCTGAGGCGTACAGGTGTTATAGCCCTGCTTAGTCTGGTCTGCCCCCATCCCAGCCCACGCTCTCCAATGGGAGTAGCTGTCCAGCAAGAGAACTACCCCTTATTCCCCTGCTGGCTCCACCCCCTCCCTTCCTGGTTCTCACGGGTGCTGGTTAGGCACTCTGGTCACATCCGGTACAGGCAACCTCACCTTGGCATTCCGTATTGTGCACTGATCTTTGTCGCGACCAAACCCGTATGCACTACTAATTTTACAAACTGTTATTTCTACTGACTTGGTAAATTACCACTTCTTTTACTTTTATCCTTTTAATTTGGAAATACACTTCATTTTTTTCATTTATTCAATGGTTACCTTTCCTTTCCCCTGTACTCAAATCGGGCCTATATTCTCTCTTATTTTTCAAAAGTGATAACGCATGTCACTTCTCCTGCACCCTCAGTATTTGGCAGTTTTACTTCTTTTCTAAGAGTTATTCATTTTTATTGAAAAGGTAGATTTACAAAGTGAGAAGGAGACAGGTAAAAATCTTCCATTCGCTGGCTCATTCCCCAAATGGCTATAGCAACTGGAGCCTAGCCCATCTGAAACTAGGAGCCAGGAACTTCTTCTGAGTCTCCCAGGTGGGTGCAGGATCCCAAAGCTTTGGGCCATCCTTCTCTGCTGGCCTCCCAGACCACAAGCAAGGAGATTGGTAGGAAGAGGGACAGAAGGGACATTACCTGGGACCCATAAGGGATCCTGGTGCTTGCTAAGGGAGGATTAGCCAATTAAGCCATCGCACTGGCTGGCAGTTTTACTTCTAAGTAATTATTACAATCATCCATTTTTACACCTATTTAGTCCCGGATAATTTTTCTGATTTTAACTACACTCACACAGTTCTAGTTTTAATGACCATGGCTATTTCCTTTGACATCTTTTTTTGGCTCATGTGTTTACTTATTAGGCACTTTGGAAAATTAGATTCTTCCGAGGAGACACCGCCATGGCACAATAAATTTCTGCATAGCCACACTAATTCTTCTTTTAGATTAACTGATAAATGTTTGGATGGCAGATAGAGCCTCCGGTCGGTGTCTTCTTTCAAGACAGTCTACTTAGTTTTGTTTTTTTTTTTCCTGCAAGGCATGAAACATGATCAGAAAGCTGAGGGAATTCATCTCACTTGCACGTGCCTATGTATGTGTCATTTCTTGTGAACAGAAAGAACTCGGAAAACACGGCCAGCAGGTTCAAACTTCTTTTGGGGAAAGGAGATATAATATAAATAAAATGCATTTAATTATAAAATGTCCTACAACTGTTTTTTTTTTTACCCCGTTTTGGATTGCTATTATTTACTTGTGGAGCTCTCTAGAGCTCAACTCCAAATTTCTTAACATCTCCCTCATGATTTCTTTATCTCTGAACTTTTTAAAAAATTATTGAATGATTTTCAGAACACTGATCTGGCTCTGAATTTATCTATTGTGTCATTGTGTTGGGAACTCTTCTCGTTTTTTAGTTCTCATGACAAGCTGATTTTTTGTAATAAAAGTTGGACTGACTTTAGCCAGAGTGGGGAACGTCCAGCTTGTGGGTCACATAAGGCCCTCAAAATCATTCCAAGGCAACCATGGGCAGGGCTCAAAATTCAACACATCTATTAACACAGGTTCATTTTTAAATTGATCATTTTGGATGGCCAGTGAATGATGTCACAAATATGTAAATGGCTCTGAGCAGGAAAAAAAAAAGGGGGAGCGGGGACCCTAGCACTGCAAATTCTGTTACGCAGCTATACACAACCTTTTCTTGCTTCTTTATGCTTTCCGGTTTTCTTACCTTGAAAGACAAACTTCTGTCATTTGCATAAATTTTGGAAATGTTCTTGCACCAAACTAACCCATTTTCCATGAACTTTTGAAGTTCCCTTATCAAGATTATCAGCAAATGAAATTTAAACTATGAGGATAATTGCAGCTCCCAGCCTGCCTGCAATCCCTCTTGTGAGGCAGGAAGTTCATGACATGACACTGTTAGAGCACTCCAAAGAAATGTGGCTGCTTCCAGGACAAACAATGTTCTTGATTTAGAATGCTTCCTCCACAACCCCCATGAAACACCTGCAGCTTGAGAGTCAAACTTTTCACCTGTTTCTTAAAAATAGGACATCCTAGACCTTACAAGCCCTGAGAATTTGTGTCCTATTTTTCCATTCTGTCTGCAATGTCATTTAGAGTAGCCCTTTTTTAATCCAATCTAGCAATAGGCTTTGATAACCATCCTGGAGAGCAGTCAGCCTGCCAGGGAAGAGGGACAGAGGAGCAGCAGAGCAAAGGGCGGGCCTGAAAAGTAGGTGTTCATTTTTAACAAGAAAAACATAATTTTCAGACAAAGTGGAAGATGTAAGCATTTACAGATCTGGTTTTATATTCAGTGGCCATGTTCATGGACACTGGTGTTCTGAGCAGCCTGCCCTGGGGAGATTTGATGCTGATCGTCTGTGTTCAACTTCAGTTCCTCCGGTTTCCATTTCTTCCTAACTTGGATGGTGAGTTGATGCTGGGTGGCCTCCTCGATGTTCTGAAGCAGGTGCCTTTCCCACTGCCTGACTCGCTCCATCGCAGCCGCCAGCTTCTTCAGGTTTCGTCTCTTCCTGTGGCCTATGTTGGAAATGCCGGGCAATCCTGGCCAGCAGCTTATATGAAGGGACTCCTCCTGATGCTGCGCCGGCACCAACAAGGACGACCCACTCATTTCCTTCCCAGGAGCAGATTGGTGCTGCTCGGGTCCAGACCGCCCACTGGAGTCCCCAGAAGCCCAAACAGTAGAAAGCCTCTTCCTTCTGAAGGGGGTGATACAGTTGACCCCTGTCAAGTGGGTACAGCGGCCCTGGAAATACACAGGAAGTGGGGACCCACCCGCAGAACCCCGTTCGCTGACGTCCAAGCGATCTCCCAGGAGCCTAGAGCTCCAACTGAATGCCTCTTCCTCCTCAGGGGTGCTGTGTTGGATGAGCTTTCTCAACAGTGGCCTTCTCCTTAGGAAAGAGGGGCTTTCTGGCTCAGACCAATTCAACCCCAGGGGCTGCCCATCGGGCCCCATCTTGTTCCCTGCAGGCTCGCTGTCTGCCGTTGCAGAAGGCACGCGCCCTTAACCTAGCTCCTGAAGTCCCAGCGAAAGGCCACTGGCCCAACAACTCTTCTTTCTTTCTCCGAAGATCTGAAAGTCATGCTAATCGCTACCCGTGAAGGTCCTTCCATGCATCATGCTTTTAGATATTCAGCGAGTTGCTTTTCCTCTCTAGCAGTTCTCATTTGTTAGGCACATGTGCTGTCAGCTGACTCACTGTTCCTCGGATGCTGGAACCCTTCCTTATTAAGTTGGTTTGTTACTCTGTGTCACTGGTTCCCTTGGCTCGGCTCTGACTGGTGGGATGCGTTAACTGAAGACAGTTCTACCCCTAGAAAATGCCTCATGTCGTTGCGCCTATGGAGCAGCAGTTGTGAGGCTGGCTGCCAGGCACGGCTGAGGCGAGGAAGCACCAGGAAAGCCTGTTCTTATCCTCACCTACAGGTCTTGTGCTCCTGTTCCTCGGGAAAGGAATGATATGGTAGGGAATAGAATGGAAAGGGAGAACTCACCTTGTTCCTAGAACTGCTCTGGGCTTATTTTAATTCCTAGTAATAGTAGCTTTTAAATAAAGCTTAAATAGCCTTAAATAGGCACAACAAACAACAAATTCTATCACTCAGTCATGAAAATGCAGGATCATGAAATTCAAAATTGTGGAATCTAGATATCTATCTATACCACATATTTTTAAAGATACAAATAAAGATTAAATGTAGTACATTTTGAGAAATCAATCTATTTTCCTGTCTTTTTTCTCCTCAGGGGACATTTCCCTTGAAGAAAATTAAGTATCAGAGGCCAAACTTTAAGGTTTCAGTTTAAATGTGGAAAAATCATTCCTGGTATTCTGCAAAAATATGCTGGCAGTTGGAGACAATATAAAACATCACAAATGTGTAATTGTATATAAGTAAGGCTGGATTTCCAACATGGTTTGCAACAAGACAAAATTCTATTTTCCATGAATTTTTTTTGGAATACTGTCAACACCGTATACTACAAGTAAACTCATTCCGATGAGAAGACCTGTTAGAGAATGTAAGGGACAGGTGCAGGGGCCAGTGACAATAGCATGTCCAGAGATCTCTGGATAATGGCAAGTTTATCAAACAATCTGTATTATTCCTACAATCCAATACATATGCATGAGTAGCCTTTCTAAATAATATAAAAAGTAACTGAAAATCCTCTCAATGAGGAAGCAAATGGAGAAATTAAAAAAAAAAGTTTAATTTACATGTGTCCTTACCCCAGCAGGGTGTACATGTGAATCCACATGTGCACATACGTGTTTCGAAGAAGTTACGATAGCCAATTAAATGACTGGGCCATATATTACCTGCAAGTGACTACTCTCCCCTTTTCCTTAGCAACAGGGCTTTGTATGTTTACCCTTCCATGTTATACTCAGAATAAGGACTATATTCTCTACCATACCTTAGCTTGCCAAAGCCATGTGACAAAGCAAGGAGCAATGGAATGGAAACCAAAGTCTATGAACAGCTCCATTACCGTTTACTACAAAGACCAATGACAGAATGTCTGCAGTTTCAGTTGACACCTTGAACCACAATACAGTCTTGTAGGCAGGACCAAGAACTAAGATGGACACAGAGAATAATAGGAAAGGCCAGAGCTGTCAGAATTATGGAGTTACTATCTCATCCTAAAAGATTTTGCGAATTCTTTCACAGAAGAACAAAACAAACTTCTATGTTCTCTAAGCCACTGCTATAGTGGAGATTTCTAATATATACAGCTAAAATAGAATTCCAAGGATCAGCTGGAAATACAGTAAAAATTTCTGAATATTTTTAAAAATACAATGTCTTTTAAATTCAGCTACATTATTCAGTTATTACCACTACTTAATCTTTCATTGGCACTCACTAAATGTTAAAATAAAGAATAATCTTTTTAAAATTTTTAAGAAACTAAATATGTTCAACTATACTCTAACCAGTGTATAAATTCTGATATAGACAGAACAATATTGCAAGGAATACTATTCCATTTAGTTTTTAAAATTTATCTACCATTAAAAAGTATGCCTGTGTAAAAAAGGAATAGTCTGTGAATGCATGCGTCGTGAATGACACAATTCTCATGATATGACACTCTGATCAAAGTAATACTGGCCTGTGAAACCATGTCCATCATTCCTAAAATATATGTCAGTATCGGGGGTACACTAAACAAAGAAATAAACAGAAAGCAATACTTGCCATATTTGAAAAATAAAGTATTTGGGATTGATTTCTTGGCTACCAATTATTTAATCTAATAAAATGTTGTTCTTACATAACCAAATAATAACCCAAATCATAAGAAATTACAACTAAGTACTCTCTCAAGTAATAGCTAGCTTTCAGTGGCCAAAGTTTTCATTCTTGGCATGACCTCCAAAAGAAAAACATTGTCAAGTTACTATAATTGGTGATATAGCTTGAAATTAAAGTAAATATAACTGAATGTTGATTAAAAAATAATTGAAGAATACTTACAGGTGACATCTTGTCCTTTTCACAATAAGAAGTCAAAATCCCACATTTTTGATAAATATCAATCAGATCTAACATATTACTGTTCTTCAAGAAATCATCATAAGTTTTCCTAATGTCCTTGTAATGGTCAACCACTTCCATATTTTCAACTGGTAAGTTCAATTTCTCATGTAGTAAGTACTTCCAGGTCAGTAAGACATCACTGAGAGAGACTGTAAATTCTCCACTGTGCTAAAAAGGGAATACAAAAAGTCAAGTATCAGAATATTCATAGACTTGTAGTTGAGACGAAAACAAAACTTAAATTTTGTTTTTCAAAATCTAAAGTTTTGATGATTTTATAACATATGAATAAACAATACAGGCAAATATGTACATGACAAAATTGGTGAATTGCCACTGTCTAATTCCCAGAACTGCTCTAAATTAAAAAAAAAAAAAAAAACAGAAAAAGAAAGTCGTATGTATTTACTTGAAAGTTAGAGTTACAGAAAAAGAGAGCGAGCTTTTCCATCTGCTGGTTCATTCTTCAGACAGTGGCAACAGCCAGCACTGGGCCAGCCCAAAGCCAGGATGCGGAAGCTTCCTCCCAGACAGCCAATGAAGGCCGCAGGGTTGAGCACTTGGGCCATCCTCTGTTGTTTTCCCCCGGCCACTAGCTGGAAGCTGAACTGGAAGCAAAGCAGCAGAGCCTGCTCTACTACAACAGGATACTATGTACACTTGGTGTGACGCCCTCTACATTTTTTTCTACCCAAAGAAAATATTTCATTCTGTTAATATTTAGTTATTTAAGCTACTGATTTTATTTTAATTTCTTATTTTAAACTGTCAATGCCATAGTGAATTCCCATGCAAAACCATATTCTAATTGGCAGCCTAAAAATAGGGTCACAGAGTCTAAACTTCTTAAAATTATGTTTCATTTTACTATTGTTAACAAGGAAAACAAAACTTAAAATCTTGGGCCAGAAAACAATTCTGATTCATTCTTATTCACAGACATATTAAACTATAACAAATAAATGCTAAAAAGCCATAGTCAGGTTTCTTTCTATAAGTTATCATGTTACTAATTATTCAAATCATTCTTTCTTTTTTGACCGGTTATTTTTCCCAGAAGAGATAAACCAGATTTTTAAATCTAGCTAAAGTGATATATTGTTGCTGAGAGACTCAATAATGTTACCGATATGTTCATGTCAATATTTTATCATAAGGCTTTCTTTAAACTCTTCTTCAATATTCACATAATAAATTCTCTCCGTAGATATTGTGAAGGCTTTTTTTTAATTGATTGAATTCTTCTTCCGCATTAATGTCCTGGACACTAACAATGGAGCCTTCCAAAAATTGCCAACTCTAATTCAGTATTAAAAAAAAAAATTCTAATTACCTTTTTCGAATGCAGATGGGTAATAAACACGTTTAAGTATTCACATACAGTCTTGTGAAACATAATATGCTGCTATTTTCTCTATCATTGTTTTTAAAGATTTTTTTTTATTGGAAAGGCAGATTTACACAAAGGAGAAACAGAAAGATCTTCCATCTGCTGGTTCACTCCCCAAGCAGTCACAACAACCAGAGTTGAACCAATCAGTAATGAGTACCAGGAGCTTCTTCTGGGTCTCCCATGTGGTGCAGGGTCCCAAGGCTTTGGGCCATCCTCCACTGCTTTCCCAGGCCTCAAGCAGAGAGCTGGATGGGAAGTGAAGCAGTTGGGAGACAATAACTGGCACCCATATGAGATTCTGGCATGTGTAAGGCAAGGATTTAGCCATTGAGCCTTCGTGCCAGGCCCCACTGCTGTCTTAAGATCTGTACTATATTAGCAGTTTCTGCTAACACCAGTGTCTTTCCATGAGTTATATTTAAGGTCAATAGGAATTTAGGCAGATCTATAAATCAGTGGAAATAAATTGTGACATTACTTTGACCTGATGAAGAACAATTGAAAGTAATCACATACATGCAAGTAGCATACTATTTTCTATGTGTGTGATTCTTTTTAATACCTCCAGCCCTTTAAAGTTATAGCTCAACCTTGACTCAAACCTAGTTGAAAATAATCAAGCATTTTTTTTTTTTACACATTGACACAGAGATATAACTGAGAGGACAGAGCAACAATTTAGTGGCTATGTTCCTTATCAAGAAACTTCTGAAGTTCTGATCCAGCTGCGTAGTATAAACAACACATATACAAGCAACAATCTTTGCATCCTTAACTTCACCAATGTAGAAAGCTTAACTATATTAAAATAATGCTTACATCTTGATTTCCAGCCAAAGACAGAATACATGTAACCAATGATGACTTAGTGGGCATGAATAGCCATCTCTTTTCAATAAGCATAACTTTACTTCAGTTACTATGTATAATGTCCCATTAAACTTTTAACTCCGGGTTATTCCAGGAGCCTTGTTTTAGTTGCTAAAACAATTAGCTCCTGGCTTATAAAAACCAGGAAACTCCTTCCTGTTTACAACTTAGACCATTATTTGCATTTTGCCACTGACATGAATATTGAAAGAAACCAGGTGGGCACCATGACACAGTGGGTAAAGCAATATCTGGGGCATCAGAACCCCATGGGCACAAAGTTAAAGTCCTGGCTACTTTACTTAAGATCCGGTTCACTAACAATTTGCCTGGGAAAGCAGCAAAGGATGGCCCAACTGCTTGAATTCCTGTGACTATATGCAAGAACAGGAAGAAGTTTCTGGCTCCTGGCTTCACATCAGCTGAGGTTCAGCTATCTTGGCCATTTGGGGAATGAATCAGTGGACAGAAGATGTCTCTCTTTCTTCTACCTCTTTTTCTTTCTCTTTCTCTCTCTCTCTGTAACCATGCCTTTTAAGTAAATCAATAAATCTTTTAAACTACTTTTAAAAAGAAGGAATTTTCAGGTAAAACCACACAATTACACTACAAACCTATCCCTTCATAGATTTTTACAATAATCAGTGACATTTATCAATTACTACACAGGTTTATGACAAGGTATTCAGATTGCCTTAAAATAATTAGCTCTTTATTCAACCAAAGGGGACAACTAAACAAATAAATGCCATCAACAAACAAAATCATTCTGTCATTAGGGTAGGGTAAGTATGTCATAAACATAAAAATTCACGGCATTTTATGAAATTAATTCAATGAGCAGTCAAAAAAAAAATACCAGCAACTTTCAAATCTTGGCTCTCTAACCCAAACATAAGACAGGTTTGTAATTTTCCAGCATTGTAGCAAAACCTGTACATTTTACTTTCTGATCCCAAAGGCTACATATCAGAAAATGTCTAAGTGGTATTTAAATTAAATAAATCTAGCTCCTTAAGAATTTCAAAACTATATTGCTTTATCTCAAAAATTCTTAAAACTGTTTTTAGTATAACATCATTAATATCTAAAATAAATTAAGATTTTTGCCTAATATATGTGAACAATTTATTCTCACCCTGTTGATTCCCACCAGTTAAACTATGTAAGCTCTTGATCTTGTGAGAAATGGTTTTGACTAGATTAGCAGTGTTTATACTGGGACTGCAAAAACATTTTAAAGCCAAATAAAAACGTACTCCAGATATCAGTTTTCATGATCAGGTGCCCACCATGACAGCATATTCTATTATTCAAACCAGTAACAACTGATTGAGAGAATCTGTGGTTAAATCAGAAAATGTTTTCCTAGGAAAACATGCCAGCTGGCTAGTATAAGAAGAAAGTTCAAAATGTTCAATGCTTTAATTCTCTGATAGACTTAGATTTTTATTTCACAAGAAAAAAATGAGAAAAGCAAATTACACATTTTTCAAAATACTTGTACTATATATCAAAGTTCTTTTTCTAATAATTTGAATTTCAAATAAACTTAAAATTTTTAATTAACTTGATGGTTTTTATTTTTATCACTAGAGGAAACATAGCAGGATTTCTTAAAGCACCAATGGGGTACATGACCTAGAGTAACATGCTAAGTTCAGTAGGAATCTACTTCCTTGATTATAACATTAGATTACACAAACTAAATAATGCCAGAAAAAATGTATAATCAAAGGTAAAATCTGTGTGGGTAGTCAAGAGATGGCTCCTTGTAACACAATTTTAAAACCTCTATCTTGATTAGGTCACTATCAGTCTATCCTCAAATCTGTGAGCCAAAGATTCTGTGGTTACATTCCATGAAGTTGAAAAATTAATAGCTTCTTCTGTTTCATATAATAGAACATCTAAATCCTTTTTTAAATAAGACTATATAACATGAAAAATATGCTACATAATATCATTGCCAGAAATATTTACCCTATCAAGGCAATGTCAAAGAAAAGTCAAAATATTATCAGTCAAAGAGTTATTTGCCATATAAACAAATCAATATTCCTTAATGAAACTATAATTAACTGCTTAGCAGTATAAAATGCTAGAGAAGCATTATAAGATCCAAAATAAAAAAGAATTCCCCCGCTCAAAAAATTGCCCAGAACCTAAAACTTGAAGATTATTTTACTTTACTTTTCCTTTAGTCCCACCTAAGTGGTTAATAAAAGTGTTATTAGCTAGATTCTATTAGGAATTTAAATTTTATTATAATAAGCTTCAGTTTTATTTTACTTTTTTGCTTTAAAGTTTTAAAGATTTATTTATTTTTACTGTAGAGGCAGATTTACAGACAAAGAAGGCGAGACAAAGAGAATGATCCTCCATTTGCTGGCTCACTTTCCAAACAGCTGCAAGAGCTGAATCTGAGGCAATCCAAAGCCAGGAGCCTCCTCCAGGTCTCGCTTGTGGGTGCAGGGTCCCAAGGCTTTGGGCCATCCTCTACTGCCTGCCCAAGACACAAGCAGGGAGCTGGTTGGGAAGTGGGGCAACCAGGACACAAACCAGCGTCCATATAGGATCCTAGCACAGGCAAAGTGAGGCTTAGCCAACTAAGCTAACATACAGGTCCCAAATTCAGTTGTAATGGCTATATTTTAGGACTATGCTGTCAAACTTTAGAGAATTGAAAGCCCAAAGGAACTCAAACACAAGATGAGTAAGGGTTATCCACAACCAACTCTATCCTTTTATTACTGTACATTAATTATAAATATACCTGCAAATCTATGGATATGCTGTGTCCTTTGGTTGAGTGCTTGGAAATCAGGGCACATTTGAGAATGACTCAGCCAACTCTGTCTGCGGAGAGTTGTGGGCCAAGGACAATAAAGAACCCCTTCCCTTG